CGAAGCGGTCAGCAGCCTACTCATCCAACTTGGAGTTGGAGTCGCGCACAGGCCAGAAACAACCATCAGGCGCCGTGTCATGAGACCGAAAGACCCACTGTCACGACAGGAAACGGCTGGAATTTTGGACAAAACAACTCTGTCGGAGAAACTGGAAGATAACTCCGGACGCGAATGGCCGAGCATACAGTGGTGATGAGAAAGAAAGACTGCAACACCCAGATTGCAGTTTACTCGACGGGACCCGAACATATTTTCAAGTTTGACGAGGCCGAAATCCTCGCAAGAGGTGACAACCGCAGAACCGCGATCTACTGGAGTCTATTAAGAAGCGCAACAATTTGGCTTTCTCATATTGTGAACTGAGAAGATTCCTTGCAAGAACATCAGTCACGCGGTAAGGGCCAGGCGCAACAACAACTCTGACGACAGCGGGCATAATTTTCACGCGGTTATCAGGCACGCATGCGACGCTGAGAAGGCAATTTTGGCAATTAGTGAGTCAAGTGCGAAGGTTCAATTCAGTACCGCATCAATTAAGACCCAAGCGGTGGATACAGAAGTGAACAATTATAACACACGCGCAGCTTACCGCTACGAACTCTAAACACTGCGCAGCCTGTGCATGTCTTCACTCTAGCTGCGCATGACCATGACTACGTTATCATCACCTATGATTAGGGATTCCCGAGGGAATTCAAAACATTAGGCAAATAAAACTATTGTCCCAGTGATCGCATCTTTTAATTATCTACAGCCAAAATTGATGAAACATTTAGTTCTAAAAAGCCCATAATTATGACATTACCCGGAAGGGATGATGGCGGTCCGAATATACTCAAACTATCCGTGCGGAGTACCATAGAAAAAAATAATAAAACGCCGCAAATTTATTCTCCTCAAGCCCTACTAGTATTCCTTCAGTAAAACGGACAAAGGCTGCTTTACCGTTGCCCGTCAGGTTTGATTGTGCGTATGTATGCACATGCACTTGCGAATGTAAGTATATTGGGTGTAGGCAAAGGCAACTGGAAGCTAAAGACGCTGAACGTTTTCCTAACTGGCTTTTTAAGCAAGAAAACAGAGTACCACCCTCCTCAATTTCTAAGCATTTGTGAAACAGCGGTGATCCTTCTGACGTTAAAACCACTTTTCGATAATTATTCGCTAGCAAATAAATCAAAGTTTGAGTTAATTTGATGTGAACAGTCCTACTGCTAGATAAACCCCACCTCATCCAGAATTTATTATTTTCATAAATTCCTACTGTGTATCTTTCTTCTTAATGAATATCGTTGTCTTCCCCAAATTATGAACTTCGTCTCTGTGGATGACACATAAAATGTTTTCTTCAATAACTTCCATTTATTTAACAGTGACAGCACAGGAAATTGTAGATTGCAGTAATTCTTCTTTTGGCTTATTTCTCCATCATTGCAGCTTACTTATCAACGGGCAAATCCCTTTGTTTACAAATACGGTAAAATCTACGATATGATTACACACGTCTTTTTCAAATTGCATAACTGCTTCCTTATTTTGTGGTATCAAGCATGATTGTGATTTCAATTTAATGTAAGTGGTTTTACTCATAAGAAGCATTCGACATAGTCCATTTTCACCTATTAAACTTTCGCGTTTACACAAGCATAAGCCGGCTGTCAGAAGGGGTGACGCTTTTTCGTAAGTGGTGACCCACAGCTACGAGACGGGTCATAAGTATAACTTCGCAGCTGCGTAGGTAATCGCTCACGCCGGCAGAAAAATAGGCCGATCGATAATAAATTAATTATAGAGAATTCTGGAGATTTAATTAAATCTTAAGTCACTCCGACCATGCTCGATTGTAGTAATAAATCTTTGATTATTTCCATTAACCTTGCACATTTTTCTTAAAACCGATCGAATTTCTAGCAAATATTCACACGTTTTTTGACGGATCACTCCTGTTTACCATGTCACATATCTTTTCTAAATCACATCACTTATATTCTTAATAACATCAATCTGTGATCATCAGCTGCTTTTATATCAGTGACGCCTTCGTATTTCTATTAACAGTGGATCACATTTTCTTCTATATTCCATACCCAAGCTAGGAGCAGCCAAATTCCAAAATTCCAAATCCAAATGTTTATTTCCAGAATATTGATTGGATGCACCACAGTATGCGTACACATGCCAGTTAATACCCGACCACAAAAGTAAATGTGAAAGGCAGTTTCAAATGGTTTCAAGTGTCCCCATAATGATGAATAAGAAGAAAGGTAAGACTTCCTACTACCATTGACATTGTTCTACTCCGCGCTGAAGAACTGCCTGTTGTAGAAGCCTTCCAGTGCTCGCCAGAGCCCATTTTTTCCAGGCGCTTACTTCTGCTTTGGGAATAGAATGCTTAATGTCGTCTATGATTGAACTGATATTTTGAATTCTGAGTTCAGCAAGCTGCAGGATGTGTGCTGAAGGATCACTGTTTTCCAACAGCTTTTCCTCCAACTTGACATTCAGCACCGCCCCCGGAATGGCCATTGAAAAATGCTTTACCCTAGTGAGCCCAGCGTCATACATAGTCACATATGATATCCTAAAATAAAAAAAATATGACTACTTTACAACTGAGCACCAAAGTAATAAGATGAAAGCCCGTTGGGCAAAATGAGCTTGCTAAAAAGGAAATGAAGCACACATGGTTGACTCACAGCAGCTTGATAAAAATATCGACACGTGCAGTGTGAATGGTACACCAGACATCCTTGACGAGCGCTGAACTTTGAACAGAACGGCACTCCGGCTTTGCTTCTGCCGTCCACATTGTCATTTCAACGTCAGTCCAGGCACTCGAAAAGAATGGCTCGACAATTGTCAATGACTGGCTCGGATTCACGAGCTTCAGCGCAGCATCTGCATAGTTTACCTGTCCGCCACTTCGCGGACATTGTTCTGGTCCTGCATGGCAATAAAAAATCAGTTCATAATTTCATATTGTCTACACCGTTCACATTAAGCATGGTAGCGTTAAAAATATCATATACAGTTCAGATTGAAGTAAAGCCAAATTTAAGGGATCAAATTTTTTTGCAGTAACATTGAAAATTTGTATTTTATAAATTATGTTTAGCTATTCTGTGAAGTCCTTGTTGCACAAAATGCAGTAAAAGAAGAGCATTTGTTTGAATGCACCAATGAACCTCGGATGTCCTTCAATAAAACTAAATGTCTTACATGTTCTCTCGAATTTAAGACAACGATGGACTTGTTGAATATAAGTCGTGAAGAAATATAGTTTTTGTGTACTTTACGTTCCCCTT